ATAAAATAAAATAAAATAAAATGAAATGAAATGAAATGAAATGAAATGAAATGAAATGAAAACAAAACTATAGTATACAATACAAAACTGATCTGGTATACTTTTTCGTAACACCACCGTTAGTGTTTTCTTTCTTCTTCTTATGTATTATTATTACTGTGTTTTTTTCCTTTTTGTTATTAATTAAAAAGCAATAAACATTTATATATATTAAAAAAACCAGGGGCTAGGCATTTCATGATGCAGAAAGCATTCTTCACATTCGTCTGCTGAGGAAAGCATGCCTCCCTGCCATGTGGATGAACATTTTATTTTAAATGTTCTCTGTTTATCAGAAAGATCCCCAAATATGTTGAAAATAAGCACCAAATGTGCTTCCAAAGCTTTCCAAATAAATCAAGTCAGAGCAAGGGACTTCTTTTAACGCCAGCCCTTCTGTCTCCCGCTCTATAGCCTTTCGTCTGTTTTGCGTGCTCGAAAAGAAAATCAGAAGAGGAGCCGAAAGAGAGTTAGTAAATAATCTTGACTGAAATCTGGAGCGCCTGTCATGAAAAGTAAATGGACTATTTTACAACTGCGTAAAGAAACCCAGCCACCTGCACTTATATTGCTCTGCCTTGCTGCAGACCAGTTCTGTTCTAGGTGTCACGGGTAACAAAAGGAAGCTATTTATCATCCTACCTGCCTCAGCTCAGCGTTGCACTGAAAGCAGAATTGAACAGAAGCTTGCAAAAATCAGGGCATCCACAAAGGAGGTCAAATTCTGCAAGATGGCAGGGTCAATGTTGTGATCAAGGCCTCACCCCTTTTGTTCATCCATGCACAAGCACATACAAGAAGGACAGGGATTCACCATGACCACCATCTTGAAGATTTTGACCTCCCCCTCCCCTGCAGAAGTCCGAAGTTTCATAAGTTTAAGAGTTCACTGGTAAAGAGGAATGATTATGTACCCAACTTTCCAAGCCATGCCAGGCTGTGCGCAACGATTAGCCGTGTTGTTATTGGCTTAGGCTAGGCAAGAGTAGAATTTATGCATTCCATTTAGCACCTGCTCCACAGATTTTCTCGTTCCAAGCTTGCTGTTCCTCTCTTGCCCATCAATCTGCTGCAAATTTATTTTTATTGCTTAATGTACTTAAGAAATGCAATGCATAAGGGTGGTGCTGGAAATAGATGTGTTTGGCTTAAGGAGTTGCAAATAAGTACAATGTAAGCCCATCTGCACTGATAGCTGTTGCTTTTTTACCTTCAAATCCAGAGCACTGCACAGCTCAACAACATAAGTTCACTTGAAGTTACTGAACAAGCAAGCAGAAGACTTTTTAGATGGAGCCGCCCATGTTTCCAGGCGGTGCCATCCATTCTGGTCCATATGGCAAGAAAGCCAAAAGGTTATTTATAACATACCCCTCACTTGGACACAGTCCAACTTCAACCAAAAGTAAAAACCAACAACAGTTAAAATTACATGAGAGCAATGAAATCAATAAACACCACAATGGATGTATGGTTACAAAAATAATCCATACAATTATAACATCCTAAATCTATTAACCTGATACTCCTGGCATGCAATTGGCCAATCAGATTAACAACAGAACAGCCCTAACCTCTAGCTTTACTAACCACCATTCTGAACATCTCACATTCTTCTACAATATGATGACAGTATGACAGAGGAACTCCAGCTTAGCTAAGCTATCTAGTGAAAGAATGGCTGGGTTCAGATAAACATTTAACTAAGGCAAGGAGGCAGCTACATGCAAACAATGAAAACTCAGTCAGTATTAGGATAGGAGAAAGTAAGTTTTAATCCAAAACAGGTCAAGGATTGATTGGGAGTCGACTATCCTTCCCCACTCAGTCATATTGTGCAATGGCAGAAGAGAGGTTAACAAAAGAGTAGCATGTCTCCCACCTCTTGTACAAAGACAGAAACCAAGAGCAACTGCTGGGGCTGGTTTAAGAACCCTATCACTTTGGTTTTTTAAAATGTTCATTCCTGGAGAATGAAACAAGTGCTGGAATCATAGAACCGTTGTGTTGGAAGTGGCCACAAGTGGCCTTGGAAGTCTTCTAGTCCGATCCTTGCCAAGGCAGGAAATGGGGTGGGCAAAACTTAAGTCTCCTCTCAGTCTATCTGCGGTGGCTCAGATCTTCTCTGAGCTACCATGAATTTAACTGTCCTCCATTAGAAGAAGAAGGGATGAATAAGGAAACCATGGAACTAGGAGAAGACTTCACAAACTTGACCAGAGATCAGTTCCTTCCACCTCCTGAGGTTAGCCAATAATCCGTAAGCCCCTTATGTGGTAGGGAAAAAAGTACTGAAGTGGAAGGTCAAGGTTTTGCTCCTGGGAGAAAAGGCTTAATTAGGAATTGGGAATTTCTCCTGAGTAGACCGTGTTCTACTAAAGTCTCATGAAATTCATCTTAGTTTAGATCAATGTTTCTCAACCTTAGCAGCTAAGATGTGTGGACTTCAACTCCCAGAATTCTCCAGCTAGCATGGGAGTTGAAGTTCATGCATCTTAAAGCTGCCAAAGTTGAGAAACACTGATTTAGATGGAGCCTCTGTTGCCTTTATATAAAAAATATTGGCAGAAACTGTTTGAAACAGTAGTTGTGTTTGTACAATATGTTCAATTACAGGTAGTCCCGGGGTTAAGAATGCCCAGTTTAAGGATGACCCATAGTTAAGAACAGAGCGTGTTGTAGCAAAATTCGAGTTAAATACACAATGATTTGAATTAAATACACAATGGTTCAACTTAACAATATTACTTATGCAGTATTATACAATAATACTGTTCTGGGTTACATACAAATTTGACTTAAGGACAGACCTTGGGAACAGAACTTGTTCTTAAGCTGGGGACTACCTGTACTTCAGTGAAATAACTAGTCACTGCCTATATAACATGCAGTGCTAATAGTTTTGACCTTGGCTAATTTTTGTGGCTCAGCATGTTGTGTGAATCTAGTCAGTTTGGTTAGTTAATCAGTTTAATGAATTGTGCGTGAACATTGAAGATGGGTTATCTCAGTAACCAGATAAAATGTGTTGTCAGAATGCAGCTAAGTGAAAGGGCTTTAACATAAGTTGTATAAGCCGGCAGAGCAGTGACAGTGGAGGCTAAAGTGACTGTGACTGTCATGGAATGTATCTACGAAGAGGAGGGTGATGTGGTGGACAGCAACGGAGAGCAAGACTATCAGGAAGGAGGGGGTGCATTCCAGGAAGGGTAAGGAGACAAAGACAGCACAGTCCATGGGGGGAGCATGGGAAGCATAAGAGGTTCAAGATAGCCACTTCCTAGAATCTCCCAGGGTACACCCACTAGTTGCTGTAGTACAGATTTAGCCTGGCAAGATTCTGTCTATACCAGGGTTCCTCAACCTTGGTGACTTGAAGATGTGTGGACTGCAACTCCCAGAAATCTCCCCCCCGCCCGACCGG